GTGTGCTAAGTTAGGACGATGACGAAATGAAGCCTACGATGTAGCTATACAGGGTGTTAGGGACGGTGTAACGAAAACTTTGCAGGCGTGATCAGACCATGAAACTGAACAACTTTTACTATGGAGCCAATGGTGGGAAACGAAAAAAAAATTCCGATCTCCCATACAAAGTCAGTCAGCTGATCGTGAATTTTGTATGGGAGGTCGGAAATTTTTTTTCGTTTCCCACCATTGGCTCCATAGTAAAAGTTGTTCGGTTTGATGGTCTGATCATGCCTGCAAAGTTTTCGGTACACCGTCCCTAACACCCTGTATAATCCGGCTTTCAGCCGAATTCCTAGGAATCCAACCGAATTGCTGTTTGATTTGATATGTACAGGCTTGTTCTTAGTTTAGGGACCCTTATAGTCTTGTACGTACATAATCTCTTATATCATATTTTTCTATAATCATTTGTAAATTATTTGTTAGAATTAGACATGCACCTGGGTCAACAAAATTTAGCACATTTTTATTCAACAAGCTTATCTTCAGCAATATTTATCTGAATATGTACTTAAATTTTTATTTCATCAAAATCAGTCCAGTATTTTCAGAGATAAGGCGTTGTATAATCAACCATACGCTTTTTTAAAATCTTTGTACCTTCGATCGTACCTTGTATGGTGAGAATCAAACGATTTTTCATTTGTTTTAGACGTCACGAGGCACAACCATGTCGACCATACTATATCTGGAAATATTAGACCTTCGAAGACCCTTTATTTTATTTTATTTTCGTGTGGGATACTGAGTCGTTCAACGACCCGATGAACCCTGGTGTCAGAGTCGAAGACCCTGAAGCTTCGCTTGTGATATACTTATATCAAAGTGCTAAATTTTGACCCAGACGCATGCCATGCAAGTTAGCTTAATATTTTTCCTTTTAAGTAGATTTTCAATGTACATATGGTTCTCTCTGAGTTATTGTCATTACTCTATGGACACTTAGCTTCATTCAAGATAAAACTTGTTATCCTCCCGAAAGCTAAAAGCTTTGATAAAGATAATGTAGGTATTCGTACTATCTATTATAGGTACTATCGCTAGCAAATACACCTACCAATTTAAGAGACCAACTTACTCTGGTTTTACATACAAATACTATCAAAAACCAGTATTACTTGATCCCTTTAATAGAGAAGTGGATTTGCTAGCGATAGTACCTTCTATCAGCAGCACTTCAACTGGACATAAAGTACATACTCATAAGGTTCCAACTTATAGTGGTCATTCGCAGTAACTCTTTGGAGAACCAATATAAATCTTGATATCATGAATTAGTAACTAGGTGTTAGTGTTAGAAAATAGAATAGTAATTGAAAATATGGTATTAAGCCTTAATAAATAAGGTTAGATATGTACTTATTTAATGTAAGTAGGTATGTAGGTTTCTTCCGTTGAAGGTTACTTTTCACTAAAATAAATATAAGTAGCCAGCTTAAGTATTTTCTAGAATAAGAAATAGATTTTAAAGAAAGATTTTGAATTCCAGCGTGTTGAAAAGTAGGTAAATACGAATTCAGCATTTGATTATTGCATTGTTAACACATTCCCTGCGTTACGGGAAGTATTTGGCCGTATTTGACTTTCCGCCTGTGCGGCAGCGTGCTATCCTTGTTTTACCGTCGGTGCGGGGGGTATTTTCCTAGGTTCTTGTGTAGGTAGAAGTGAGACAAATATATTCCTGATATTGCGTTTTTAATTATTATCCTTTTCTGAAGACAAAATGTACGGGAAATATTTTGTCGTATCGCACTGGATGATTTTTGTTTTCGTTCAGTGCTATACGGGAACTATGTAATCACAACCCCGTATAGCACTGCGAGGCGCGTACGCGGCGAACCAGTTTGGTCTAGTGTTGTGCGCAGTGACCACCTCTCGACGCTGCGCTTCTGCAATTTCATCAATAATTTAAACTAGTTCAGCTTTTTGATCAAGAACCTGATTTTATCAAAAATCGGCGACCTAAATTTGTGAACAAACGCAAACATACCTGCTTAGACAGCTGTTATTGGTAAAGTAAAGTATTTATTATAATTTATTAAACTCCGATCTCATGTGAAAGTTTGCATTATATATTAGAGTAATTATGTATAACTTATATTGAAAAGGCGCTTGTCATAAAAACATTGTTCTTCATTTGCATTAATAAGCCATAAGGATCATTCTTGTTTACATTGTTTTTATTCAAATTGTATTTTTTGGTTAAATGACACCTATTACAACAAATACCGTCTAACACCTCGATAAGTTCGTATTTTTTGATTTTACCCCATCCCTATCACTTTTTGTGTTCTATGCGGCGGGGGAAATAATTTCCCGTAAAATTTGTGTTTTTGAAAAATGCCTATAACTTCTACATTATTACTCAGATCCCCGTGCGACCAAAGCTGTATATTGACAATGATATTGCCTATAAGCTTGTGAAAAAAAAAGTGAAAATCTTGATTTTAAACGCCTGTAGGAAAACTCAAAGTCAGGGCATGATACGGGAAAATACTTCTCGTAACGAAAGATTGGCTTTCTTCATACGGGAACTATATGACTCGTATAGCACTGGCAGTAAAACTAGGTGCAGAGGCTGCCGCAGTGAATGTGTTAAGTATATGACATGAAAGATTTTGTTCCGCACGATTTTTCATGTCATATTTATACAAATTAAGCTGACATATCATATTATAATCCTAGATCCATGGTCATAATTATTTATCTTTTGAATCTTTATATATGCTTTGTAAATGAATGACACAAAAGTCTGATACAGTAGATAAAAAAGTTTAAAACTTTCGCAAAATCATTAAAAAAACGTCTGATTTCTTCGCACTTTACGACAAAAGATGGAGCTACCTACTGTCTCATTAACACATCTGATTTCACAGAATTTAAGTATCTAGCATCAATTAGGTACTCGTAGGTATGCTTCGAGTATTCGCCAGCTTAAAATTCCTCTACCTCCTCGCAAAGTCGGCTAAAATGGTACAACCTCTGGTATTTGGTTATCGATCGGGTTTGGGGCGTACACCGCGCACGCCCCGCGTCCCGCCCCCTTTACCCCCCACAGTGACCCCCCTTGGGGTGGCGGGGGTGTCAACTCCCCGCTTATGGCACAAATTAGTGAAACAGCGCGCTGGGCGCCTTACCAGATGGCTCACTCAGTACTAGCGACGATTTTGATGCTTTTAACTGGAAATAACCGGAATCTCAGGGAAACAAGGTAACTACGAAGGTGGTTCACACGAACGTCATATTTCTTGGATTAAAATTGGGTCAGAATCATATGACGTTAGATAAAAGATTTTGCTGTTTTGATATTTTTATACCTACTTTGAGATTTTTGACAGTAGTTACTCTGGCTATGTAACAAATGCCAATCGCGAGAATCCGAAATAGGGCCGAGTGAACCTTCTGTAAACTCTCTATTTTAGGGTTTCACCCTCCCCCCCTACTTATGGCGCGTCGAGATTTTGTCATCTTTTGTGATTTCTTACGTTTACAAAGTAGAGGTAAGTGATTTTGGACGACTGCGGGAGGTTAAGAAGGATTGGTATTTGCACGTGTAGGAGTTTTTTAGGAATATTTCTTTTATTTACTCAATAAAGTAGGTAATGGTACAAGCTTACTTGTCCTTTGATAAAAAAGAAATATCTACGTAGAAGTATATTATTTATTCATAACTAAGATTTTTAATCTAAAAAAAATGTTTTAGATAAGCTATAGGTAGGTATAGTAATTTCGTTTATAACCTAACATTTCCTAACCTCACATTTTTTAATCTTTAAAATTTTTTCTTTACCTACTTGGACCAATTTTGATTCCCGTGCTGATAAATTTATGTTTAGGATTACCTAATGGATAAATATTTATTAGTGTCATCCGTGTCATCATGCAACTTCGGGACGGAAGATGCGTTGCTCGAAGTCATGCAATATGAAATTGCACATGACATGTGCAAATACTCTAGAAAACAAAAGCCACGAACTATATAGCTCCTTGGCCACGAAAAATAACAAAAAGATTGTAATACTTACCTACCTATTATAGTATAAGCTGCAAAAAGCTTTCATTCATAAAAAACTGGCAACCATCCGTAAAAACTTTGACAGCGATGCCATTTGATAAATATAAAAGAAAAATTTACCTATTTTATTCTTTTATTATTTAATGGCTTTCACACGTCATTTTTTCATGTCATGTGGCCAGCTGATGCCAAAAGCTAATAGGTAAAAATCTTTTTGGAGCGATTCTATGAACACTTTATTTTTATTTTAGTGCATACTTCAATGTCAATATCGAAGTTGCGATTTGCATTGGAGGGTTTAATACGCATGATTTGAACAAAATTTGATGCCGGCTTAGAATAGCATCACCTCATCCTCAAACAGACATGGCAATAAAACCGTATTTTTACGGCCGTTGACGCTCTGCCTACCCCGCAAGATATTAATGAAGTAAGCTGTTCTGCTATCAGGATTGACATGCGATATTATATTGTCCTCTTTTTGCCTCTAGAAAAGCGTGGTAGGTATGATTACGTAAAGTGTCTCTGTGCCAAAGAGTGCAAAGCTTTTCTGAGCCGACTTTGCCAAACGTAGGCGGATGTGGGCGCGTGACCTTTTAAAAATGCAGGCCTTAGAGTACGGTCATTCGAATAGGCCATATTTGACAGCTGTCAAATCCATACTGGAGGACATGTCAATAAAGAAAAATAGACCTTATGTTATGTCATAGTATTAACATTATTTTGTTAGCTGTCAAATATGGCCTATTCGAATGACCGTACTGTACGAGGCGACGTAGGCGAATGTAGGCGGACGTGGGCACGTGACCTTTTAAAACTGCTGGCTTTAAGTTCATACTGCTGCCACCCACGTACTCATTAGGGGAGGCGAGAAGCAAACGTAACGTCCGTTTGTGCGTAATTTTTGCGCTGCGTGACGCATGCGTTACGAAAAATTCACTAGCGACCGCCGGAACTTGAACCCGGGACTGTGGAGCATCGCTCCATCGCTCTGCCAACTGAGCTAGCGCCTAGCGGACCCTAGTAAATTTCTCAACGTCTTGATCTCCTCTCGAAGCGACGATTCAATTTTCTCATTTTTTAATTTATCTATGAGAATAATAGGTATAGCGCTGTGAGTGCACCAAAAATTCCAATACATGCGTCAGGAATTAGGACAAGAAGAATTTCGACTTTATTCCTGTACAAATACGGTTTGACAGTCGCATACGTTGACGCGGTGTTGTGCAATGGACAGCGTTAGCAGATGCGTCTGTCAAACCGTTTGACATAAACTGTATTCTTATGAAAAGAAAGTGGAAAATAGCATTTTACTAACGCATGCGGTAGCGCTGCGCAAAAATAACGTTCAACCGGAAGCTACGTGTGTTTCTATCTTAAGTTCATACTGCTGCCACCCACATATTCGTTAGGGAAGCTTTGAAGTTTGGAGGACATTCAAATGTAGGTCTGTACTGTCAGCAGCACCTTGACTTATCTGTCAAATTACTGTCTTCACGAGACGTGGTACACGAGATGTAGGATGACATCTGTCAGACAAGTGATTGTTGGCCGTCTCACGTGTGTAGATAGACGGCATCTCTTCTATTTCAATGTTTTTAAATATAGAAATGGTTTCGAACATCGCAATGTCGCATATCTTACGACTCCGTCTCATGTCTGTGGAATATGGATAGGTTGATGTGCTGTAAGATTTCAAAACATTATGTTAGGTATGTTTAAGATTGTTGGCAAGAATAAATGCATTTCAGTGTTGGGAGTTACCTATCTGTAGAAAGGTCATACTAAAAAGTTACGAAATTCGACGATTTGAAAGTACAGCGACTACATTTTTCAAATATGTCTACACTATTGAAAGTTTTTGTCAACGTTTTGTCAATGTTGTCCTATTTCAAGTAGTTGAATAGGTATGCCTCAGACCAAGGTTTCTGCATAGTAACCAGAACTAGTACTATTATATAGGGTGAAATTTTACTAGTGACCGATAGCGAAAACTCAGATCCGGCTGGTGATAAGGAACAACTTTCCCCAAGGAACATAGGTCGAAATACGAAAAAAAAATTTTGACCTCCCATAGTAACTCAAATCAGCTGATCGGTCATTTTGTATGGGAGGTCCAAAATTGTTTTTCGTATTTCGACCTATGTTCCTTGGGGAAAGTTGTTCCTTATCACCAGCCGGATCTGAGTTTTCGCTATCGGTCACTAGTAAAATTTCACCCTATATATTCTGTGCCAGAACGTCCCGGGAAATATGCATTAACCTCATAAAATTCATTGTTTAAACAGCAGAATACAATTCTACTCGTGAAATTCATTCCTAATAGCCTGAAACGAGAATGCATTCCCAACATTACCACGTTTAATCAAATGCACAGCCTTGCATGTAATAGGTGACCTGTTTTCGCGTATTGACCACCTAGGGCCTATATAGGTCCCCCCACCCCTTCCACCACTAACCTTCAACCTTTTCCACCACGCATGCGCTTCCCTCCCCCCATTTTATAGACCCTGGAAGGCCCCAGCTCAGTCCGTGGCCAGGCCAAGACGGGACTACAGCTGTAAGCTGAAATTTCCAGTGAAATACCAAATTTTCCTTCATATATGAAAAACATATATAAAATATCTAAACTCCGCGACCATACCCTCTTCATATACAACTTTATCCGCGACCCGTTCTGCCATATAGTCATTTGTTTCTCGACAAAGAATATATCCTACAAGTAGTGGTCAATGATATATAGTAATTAAATAAATTGTAGTTAAAAATAAAATATTTACCGTTAAAAAATTATATCGTATCGCCACTTCGTTAATAAGGTCAGTATTCTTTAGGCTTTTAGATAAACAGTATATGTTACGTAAAATGTTTAGTATGATGTAGATTTAGATGTTTTTCATTTAGATGTTCTCTCATTTTCTTCATACACAACATTTTATCTTAGGGTCAGAACGCACTTACGCTTAATTCAGCGTAGAGTACATATAAGTATCACCAGCAAATTCACCTTCCAGTTTAAAGGACCATCAGATACTGGTTTTTCTTAGTATTTGTATCAAAACCAGTATAAAATGGTCCCTTAAATGGGTAGGGCGATTTGCGGGCATTCTTTGATGCCATATTCGTATAACACAAAATTCCGCAAATGAAATATAAGTAGGTGTGTTTCGACCTTTCTTTGTAATACATATCGATACCCTTTTGACCTTTTAGTATGGATTTTTTCGCGCATGCGCAAAACAAACTGCGCAGACTCAAATACATATTGTAGATACCTACCTACCTATTTATGAATACAAAACATATACGCCGTTAAATCAGTATTGAAGATAACTACAATGATAAAGAGGCGTGGTTTTTATTGTAATTTACATTATTTTTATATTAATGTAATTTTCATTTTATGTTAATCTACTTTGAAATAAAAGTACTGAAAAAAAAATTAACCCTTAATCGGATTGGTACGAAATGAACATAAAAAATTAACATATCTTTTCTCTCTTTCCAGACTAGACTAGAAGTTAGCGCAAATGTCAAAGCTAACTCTGGACGGTTTTTTTTCGTACTGCAAGCAAATAGCTGAACATATCCAGCTGGTTCGTTGATTTCCCGCCATTTTCTCTCATACACGTCCGCCATTTTCTTGCATGTAATTAGCTATCACTATTTTCTTGCATGTAATTAGGTGTGGTAGTAAGATGTTGCTAAATGTCACACACATTTTTAGCCTTGTCTTGCCATTCATATCATGTCATGTCATTTCATGCACGAGTTCGCTGCACTAGCTGTCATTAACTTTCATACTCATTATTACCACAAATTGTGCTATTACTCATATTCATCCTGTACTGCACGTTATACCTAATATGAAATAGAACAAATGTTGATATGTCAAAGATATTGGACAAAATAAATATATTCGTAGTTAAATATAAATTTATATAAATTAATTAACTGAATACCTAGCGTTTTCCTATAACAATGAAGAACACTGAAACATTTTATCACTGCTTATTTACACAAATATTCAGTTGCGATCAATAATTAATTATATTGTATCCACGATGGTTCTACGGCGTAGCGCTACGAGCTACAGTATGGCTACGCCATAATCATATTGGTAGCAGTTACGAGGTTTAGATCGTTTAAGGGTTAAAGAAATTCTGTTAAAGTTAAGTAAGTAAGTAAGCAGGTAAGTAGGTAGTTAAGTATGTAGGTACATGGTATTGATTGTGTTTATTTTCTAACTTACAATAAACACCAAAAACAAATCTCTCCGTTTCACTTTGCTAGAATGACGAAATGCAGACAAATTATATTATAAACTGAACATAAATGTAGTAAAATATGTTTGTTTGTTGGTGCAGGGTGAAAGGATGGCTGCTCTGTCGGGACAAGGCACTCCCAAGCTCACAAGCGCCGTCGGCAACCTCTACTATGACTGTAAGTACTTATTATCCAAGAGATTTTTTTATGGGTCACTTGATGGTATTGTTTGATAGCAAGACCAATTGGGAACACTTACCACCGGACATTAATCTAGCTATAGATTGCGGCTTTTGATAGACATAAAAATGCCAACCTGTGAAACATCCACGTGAAAATGCAAGCGGCAACGTGTGCTATACCTAGTAGGTAAATTATCAAGTTTTTATGTGTGATTTCGTAAATAACTAATGTAAAAATTTAGAAATGGTGCGGTAGGTAGGTACTCATGCGTAAGAAGAATTAGAAATTATTTTCTACAATCTGATTTTCAATTTTATGAGTTTTATTTTATCGTTGACAGTTCTGTAAATAAAATAATCATTTTTCTTAGAAATGCATCTGCATACTACCAACTTTACCTACCTAAAATACTAAAACAAAATTCGGTACATGAACAGCAATTTTCGTCAAAATGAAATCAGTATCAGCTAATGAAATATCCGCCTCAACCTAATCTAAACGACACTTGGTATAAAGTTGCATCTGTGACGTCACATCCGGCCCGCTATCTCCACTTCCGGGGCGATATTTCCGGCGGATGTGACGACACGCGCGCTGTGGCGGGATACGCGGCATTCGTGGCCTATCTGATGATGATGATGTAATCTGACACTTATGGAATGCTGGGGTGTGAGCACAAATTAGGGAATCGGCGCGCGGGTCTATACATATGACTGACTCACTCAGTACTAGCGACGATTATGACTTTAACTGGAAATAACCGGAATCTCCGGTAACTAAGAAGGTGGTTGACATGAACGTCATATTTCTTGGAATTAATTGGCTCAGAATCATATGACGTTCTTGTAGGTATTAGATTTTTCTGTTTTGATATCTTAATATAGATACTTTGAGATTTTTTGACAGTAGCAACCCTGGTTGGGTAACAAGTGATAATCGCGAAAATAGCTGTCCATGTATTTGTCCATGTCCATTTGGAATTTTGGATCAAATACTGAAACAAAATTCGGTACATGAACAGCAATTTTCCCAAAATGAAACCAGTATCAGTTAATGAAACATCCGCCTCAGCCTAATCTAAACGACACTTGGTGTAAAGTTGCATCTGTGACGTCACATCCGGCCCGCTATCTCCACTTCCGGGGCGCTATCTCCACTTCCGGGGTGATATTTCCGGTGGAAGTCGCGACACGCGCGCAGTGGCGGGATACGCGGCATTTGTGGCCTATCTGATGATGATGATGTAATCTGACACTTATGGAATGCTGGGGTGTGTGTGAGCACAAATTAGGGAATCCGACGCGCGGGGCCTATACATATGGCTCGTTCAGTACTAGCGACGATTTTGATGCTTATTGAATTGAACTGCAACCGGAATTTCATGGGAAGTCAAGGTAACTAATAAAACTTGGTTTCCACCCTAGGTTTCCACGAATGTCATCTTTCTTGGTTTAAAATTTCTTATACTTTGAGATTGGCTATGTAACAAATGACAATCGCAAAAATGTACACTCTCTGAGTAAATCTTGATAATAAACTGGCATTTTATATGAAAAACGAAT